GTTGAAGAATAGATGAGAAAGTTAGAAACGTTTATGCAAGAAGGATGTTCAAAGGAATGTACTTTGAATTTGAGACTTCATTTCCATGGAATTGTCTTGTAACAATCTCCAAAGGAATATTTTGTAATATCGTTGGTCAAGTCTCTGTGACTTTTGGCACCTAGACATTACAAAAGAATCATTGCATGATGGTTTAGAATCTAACACTTTCTAGATGTGACAAGAATTTGGAATTCTTACACTTGCAATAAGGATTTGGAATTTTGAAATGAGCATCATTGAAATGTTTTCAATTGATCTATTTCACAAATTAAGGACCATAGATAAACATAGTCTGCACGCTTGGTGTATGGCATGACTATCGTTTAGACAAACATAGTGTGCATGCTTGGAGCATGGCATAACTATTGTTTTAATTCAAGTATTAAGTTGATTATTTGAAACATTATACAATGAATGATGAGTAATCAATATGGCTCAAAAGTTTTGGGGCCATATAGGATTAATATTATTCTTGTGTTTCACTTTGTATGTTCTGACTTCCTGAATAACTAGTTTATTCAAACCATCCACAGTAAATCATACTTTGGAAGTAGGTACTGAGGCAAGGCTGTCATGAATGGGTCTGTAGTTTGTCTAGGACAAAGTGGCTGCAGTGGTCATGAGTACTCCTGGAATAAGATTCGAGTATTCGATTCAACCCACGCTCATTTGAATCACTTCAAGGATTTTATCACGAGTGATCATGAGACGATAATATCTTATATTCTTCAAACGAAGACATGTGAGTTGTAGTTGCGAGTCGGTTGCACATTGACATATGTAAACGCACCAGTAACTTGGTTGTTATAAAACATATTGTTGTGTGTAATTTGATGAGTAAGTACAATCGAGCATTTGGGTCGAAGTTTATACGTTCCTTTTACCCCATGTGGATAAAAGCGATATCTGTGGGCTCCTCGATGATTTAGTGATGACACCAAGCCTGGACTGATTTGATTTGTTCCATTAGTCGGTCATCATAAATCGGAAATCAAGAAACAACAGATGGACAGAGAGAATGATTATAATCCATGTCTCAGTCCATATGATATTTAGAATGGAGGAATATATGATCCCTTATCTAATGGAAATGTCATTGACTAGGTCAGAGTTCGACAACGGTTTTTAAGAGCTACGATTGCTAGTCAGGTTGTGGAGTCATACTTGCAATAATAGTTATTAGACTTATCCAAGTGGGAGACTGTTGGATTAGTGTCTAAGTTCATAACTATAATTGGTATGTACTTGACCCGAGAGTAGCATGGTCCATTTGGGTTGCATATCATCAGGACAAATTGATAGGATGGACTTTTGAGAAGAAGTTATTTATGGTTTATTAATATATTATAAGTTCTAATATATTAATATGAAATCATATTGTTTAATTAGTATTGATCAAGAATTAATTTGGAATTAATTATGTGATAAAAAAATAGACTAATAAAATATAAGGGGTTATTTGGTAAATCATTCATTCTTATAAAGTGGGCTTATGATCCATAGTTCTTCATGTTGGGCTAAACCCATGTGGTAACCCATGGATACTCCATGGAGGTTTTAACCCATGGAGCATGAGGGATATGGAAAGTCATTAGGGTTTACATGGTGTAACCCTAGTTTGCCACACTATATAAGAACCACTCTAGCTCATGAAATCGGCACTTAAGTGGAATACTAGAGGGCTAGCTGATTTGTGTGTGCAAGGAATCTCTTCTCAAGTTATCCTTTGTTCTAGGTGTGTTGTGATTCCATTTGAGGCATTCATACTATTGGTGCTAAGCTCTTGAAAGTCTAAGCAACAAGCTACAAGAAAAGGTATGTTATCTAACTTGTTTTATTACCCAAGTATCAAAGTTTTGTATGCTAGTTAGGGTAATACCTTGGAAAGTTCAAGTTTGCATGTATAACAAAGAAAACATAGATCCAAGGTATTTAGGGTTGCATGTACACCTTAGGAGTGTTAGAATGCTCAAAACCCAACAGTTTATGTACATATAATAGCATCATATTTTGTTCAATCATGTTTAAGTACATATAATGTACATTTGGTATGTTATTGTCCATTTGAATTCATTTCCACTTATCTTGGACATAAATGATACAGTTAGTTACAATTTGGCAATATGTCTTTAACAACTAACACTTGGTCTCTTTGGTCAATATGGACATAAGTATATCAATTGGTCATTAGTTGCTAAATCAAAATCCTGCACATTTGGTACAATTTGTACAATTTTGTATCTTAGAAACCACACAATCCAACCAAATATACCCATATAATAAACACTTGTCATATATTTGAAAATTGGTCAACATTGGACCTTGTACATACCACATAACTCCATATACACAATTCTATATTACTTCATATAGACAATAGTAACCACAATCTTCATCCTTACACCTTACATACTTACCCCGTCAACAAGAACAACTAACCACTCTTTCGCGTACTTAACCCTTCAACAACAAACACAACACAATCCCTAAAATGACAATGACGCAACAAGAAACTTAATTATAAACCTAACAAGAAACAACAGATTACAGTACCCATATTCAACAAATAGATTAGGGTTTCCATTATCACCATAAGCAGTAGGATCAGAGCTATGTTTCTTTTTCTAAATTGCCTCTCATTTAGAATTTGCTTGTACCACGAAGTAGTTTCATCATCATACCATTCAAAGTAACCACAATCTTCATCGTCATCAGGAAAGTATCTGGACCTAAAATACCTTATGCCTGAATTTTTGTCACTCCATGCGACCTGTAACGGAGCTCCTAGTCCATAGTAACACTGCCTAAACGAAACCATTCTTTCTTTGCTTACAACACTTTGGGACGATGAACCATTTGTCCATTTGGGAACTCATTCAAGCGGGTAAGAAGAAGAAGACGACTGCGAGGCAATATTTATGTTAGGGTTCACTTATAGACAATTGCAAAACCAACGTGGATTACAAGTGGAAGACACATAAGCATTTTGCCTAGTCACCAACTAAGAAACCCTCTGACCTGAAGCCATCTGGTTAATTAGTCATAAGTGCAACAAATTAAAAACACAGTCATTTTATTATAACCAAAAAAACATGGTGTCAAAAA